TGACGTTCTAAATGGGATGCCAGTTCCCTAAATCTATCTTGTTCCTCTTGTAGTCGTCTTCTTAGGGCTGAACATTCCCTTGTGGCTTCATCTAATCTTGACTCTAATTTAGTGCGATTTTCAGCCTCAACACGCTCCAAACTAGCTTTAATCAATTCTAGGTTTTTCAACAGTAAAGACTGGCCTTGTCTTTCACGATTCAGTATTTCTTTTTCTGTTTGTAGACGCACTTCAGCGTCTTTAAGCAATTTACTTTCAAGCTTTATATTCTCAAGTTGAATTTCTGCTGCAGCAAGTTTACTTTGAGCATTCAGAGCTTCATCTCGCAAGTGTTGCAACGATACTTCATGTTTTGCAATAGTAGCATTATATGCCTTATTTTTTTCTTCTAAAGAAGTAATTTGCTTTTTGTATGTTGTTATATTTGTTTGCAGGATTTTCAGACGTTCATTGTTATATTCCGAAGTAGAAACGCACTTACTGTTTGCTGCAGTAAGTTTAGCTATCTCCTGTCTCATGTTGTCAATCTGTTCAAATAACATTCTTTCATTAGTAACTTTTTCTTCTTTATAGGTTTTATACTCTTCTTTGAGCAATTCCAAGTGCTTTTCAGTTTCCCTATACTTGATTTCGAAACCAGAAGTATCGACGGCAACAGGTTTAGTTTTCTCGGGTGATGATTCCATCATGAATGTATCCCCTTTATCTAAATCAGAAGACTCCAAAACAGATGAGATTTCATGGCGTTTTCCTTTCATGTGATCATGATACAATTTTTTGAACATATCTCTTTGTCTAATCAAGCCATTAACCATTTTGGTTTGTCTATCTTGGGCTTCAGTTAATTCAGTAACACGATTCTTCAAAGCTTCTATTTTACTTTGCAATTCTCCACTCTCAAACTGCTCTTTGTGGCGTTCAAACTCTTCCTGTTTCTCTGTTAACTCCCGAACCATTCTTAAGAGCTTTTGGTTGTTGGACTGAAGTTCCTGAATATCACTAAATGTTACTAAAGCTTTAGAAATGATACGAGACGAACTCATGTCTGAAGAATTGGTAGTATTTGAAGTAGTATGAGCATCATGATCACCATTCGGTAAAAGTCCTCCACGACTATGCTCAATTTCTTTTAGTAAGAAGCAAACTTGCCTTCCTAAATCAGCTAATTCTCCCTTCAATTTCGCATTTTCTCGGCTATAATGGTTAGCTATTTTCGAGGTCTCGGCGTAATCATCCCTCAGTCTATTGCATTCAATCAAGAGTGAATCTATTTGTTGAGTGAGAGCTGTGTTGCTTTCTACAGCTTCTTCATAATCAGCTTTTTGTTTCTGCAAGAGTGGTGCTTTCTCTTCCAACTCTTGTACAATGGTATTAATTGTTATATTTAGCCGTCTGTTTTCCTCTTTTTCTTGAGCTAACTCATCAGTCACTTTAACTAGCTGTGAATAGATCTGAGTCAATGACATCCCAGATTTTAAAAGTTTACTGGCAGTTGCTGCTGATGGTGCTAAATCGCTTAAAGCCATATCTAGATTTTGAGCATTGGCAGCTTTTAGTAAATCATTCGCGTGTTCTAGTTCATTTTTCAATGATGCGATTACTTCGTTTTTCTTTTCCATCAATTCTTCGTGGTCTAACTCTGCTTGTTTATATTTAGTTTCAAGTTCACCATATTTTTCAGTTGCTTCATTTAATAATCTTTGCAGTTCAGATATTCCCTCAGTCAATTCCAAGGTCTTTGCTTCAGCATCATCATGCATAGTTTTGAATAAATCCGCAAGTTTAGATTTGGCATCCAGTTCTTTTTTATAGTTCTCAGTCATTTTGTTTTCAATTTCTCTTTGTTCCATTAAACGTTGCGTAAGACTTTCAGCGCGATTATTTAGATTTTTCTTCACTTCATTGAGTTGAGAAATAGTTTCATTGGCAACATTCAATTCCTCAACTTTCTCAGCTAACTGTGTTTCTAAATTAACCAAACGACTTGTATTATTAAGTCGCATAGTTTGTAGCTCAGATGTAAGTCTATTGACCTCTTCTGTGAGGCCAGAAATTTGCGAATTTAATAATACTCTTTCTTGTTCAATCCTTTTTTCGCGATATTGCAGGGAAAGTTCTTTACTTTGAATTTCATCATTCAGTGCCAATGCTTCACATTTGGCGTCAATAGCGGCACGCAATTGTTGGGAAATTGAAACTTCGTTGGCAGTCAATCTCTCTATTTCAACGTCGCGCCTTTGTAGAATACGAGTCAAGTCATTTCTTTCGTCCACAGCAGCATCTCGTGCGCTTTTAAATGATATAGCCTCATTTTCAAGACGGCTTATTTTTTCACGGGCCTTTTCAAGTTCCAAATTCAGGTTTTCAACCTGCCTACTCAGTTCTGTTATTGTTTCATCTGATCCCTGTAACTTCTTGGCAGCATCATCATATTTTGCAGTTAGTTCAAGTATTGTTGTTTCTAAGGTGCTGATTTTATCGTCTGAAAAAGAATTATGAGACAAAGTTAGATAAAAAGGAAAATACCGGAAGTGTGTACTAAAATATGCATATAGGTACTTTAATAAACGTACATTTATAATTTTTTGTTTGTTACATAATACCTCAATATTTTTATTAGAGAACTTGTGGAATGTGTGTGAAGGTGAAGAAAACAAGGTATTTTACGTATTTTATTTGTTAAACAATGTTTCGCAAAGTGTTGGCGCAGATGGGCCACAGACCACAGCCACCGGTGCGGTGGCTGTTGCGCGTTACCGCTACATTTCTAAGAGTGTCAGAAGCGAGCGACAGCCACCGGTGTCTGGAAGCCGCCACATTTTATAACCCGCTCGTTGCTAAATATTCGAAATAGGTATTTGGATTACGTATTTTAAAATATTTGGATTAGGTGCATTAAGTAAAACAGTACCTAATCCACGCAATCCAAAATTTTTAATCCAACCCATCTCTAACGGGGGATGGAGCAGTGCGACAGTGGCGGGTGTCGGCGTTTTGTGTGGCTCGTAGTGACCACTAGTGGCGAGTCGCGGACACTACTGTAGCGAGTGGCCGCCACCGGATACACGTGTGCGGCGCGTCGCACGGACACTATTTAATATGGTTAACCGTAAATCTGATTTAAAATATGGTATTTTTATTTTTTTATTCAAATACATTTTTTTTAATTTTATTTTTCGCGATTTTTATTTTATTTTATGGCTGTTTTTACTATCAATCGTTTTTTTTTTAATTCAAATCCTAACGAAAAAAAACTATCTGGCAACGCTGATTGGCGGCAATGTCTTTTGGTTCGTAAATGTTGACGTAGATTTTTCTCACAATAAATTTTCATACCAAATTACCAATGGACGAATACGAGCGAAAACGCTAATATGAGCGTTAACATATGACACGTAACATAAAGGAGTCCTTTTAGGCCATTGGTTCCCAAAGTGGGAGGGGAGGCGCAAAGACTGTGTACTTAAGTATTTTAGTAGTAGCGGTCGCAGGTTTAAGCCCTAAAGGATTGCAGACGCAGCACACACAAGGCACGCAAGTCACAACGCATTTTAGTTTGCATTGTACGATTTCACGTAAGGGTGCGTAAATGCCGGCGTTCGGCGGCGCGGATAGTGGACGCTACTAGTGATGTGCCGATTTGGTATTCGAATTTTTTGGTATTCGTTAAAAAAAGAATCGAGTTAGGACTCGAGTCGGAAGACTCGGACAAGTATTCGAGTACTGGCACGGGTATTCGAATACTGGCTGGCACGGGTATTCGAATACTGGCTGGCACGAGTATTCGAATTGTACGGGCTGGAGTCAGTGGTTGTAAGGCACTGCTCCCGTGCCCGGGATATGCGGTCAGGTTAATAAGGTGTGATAGGAAGGAGGCTGAGCCCAGGTCGCCCAGGGCAGCAGCGTTAGGACGGCAGGTAGGCGGCGGGGACCCGCTGCCAGCCCGGCAGACTCACCGGACTGATCATAGCGACGGCTAAGGGTGTCTTGGCCGCAGCGGGGGGAAATGAGACACAACGACGGACGGTTGATATCTGTTTATTGTTGTAATTCTATTGGTATTTATACATGATTTATTTACTGTACACAATTAAACGTATTTGCTAGTGTGCCGTCGGTGTATAGTGCCGACGGTGCAGGACGCTGAGGGTTCATGGGTCGCCCGGCGGTCGATGCTGACGGTGCAGCAGGATGTACTCGTACACGAATACTTCAGTGGACTCGAGTATTTTTTGAATCGAACTTTGTAGTTTGTGTTTGACGACAATATCTAATATTTCATCACAAATCATATGAGTATTTCTCAAAAAAAATGTACGTAACGAAATAGTAGTAACGAAATAGTAAGGCCATAAGGCTTGTTATACATTGGCGAAATATTGTGAATGCTCTTCATTTATTCAATTCGAAATATTTGTAAGTATGCACCCAAATACGGGGTAATATTAAGGGGTTAGAAATAAAATAAGGGAGTAATCATTCATACTATTTTAATAAAATTATTCATACTATTTTAATAAACGTAATCTAAATGATTTGATAATTTTTTGCTGGTGGCACTTCTGTAAAGCAGATAGTATCCAATCCTTTTGTTATTAACGCTCTATATTTTTTGAAATAAATTAAGTAGTGAATATTACTTACTATGCTTAGTCAGGTAATAANAATTATACATATAATAGTATAATTGAAACTATACATAATCTACAGGGTGTTAGGTAAATGGGTATATGAGCCGACACTAGCCCATGTTAACATGGTCATATAAATGGTATGGTGAAGTCAGAAATTTGATATCATCATTTTAATTTTTTTAATTGTCATACAAAATAAATTTTATAAAATCCGATTTGTATGAAAATTAAAATAATTAAAATGAAGATATCAATTTTCTGACTTCACCATACTATTTATATGACCATGTTAACATGGGCTAGTGTCGGCTCATATACCCATATACCTAACACCCTGTATATTACCCTCATTTATTAAATGCCTCAGATCTGGAAAATAGATATTTACAACTAATCCCAATATCCCCTTATCTACACCTTTATCACACCTTTAGTGTTCAAAGTATAAAATTATTATTTGTAAGTGTATTATATTGAAACAAGGTCACTATTGTGTAACAGTATTACTCAATTTCGAAAAACTTATTTAGCTCTGATAAATTCCTCTCATCAACTAACTTGGCCACATCATGCTCACCCATAAAAGAGCAAACCATTCTCAAAGTGGTCCAAATAGTTGAGGAGCTGGTGTCTACAGAGGATGAACTTGGATGCAAACTCTTAGATTTGTATTGCTGATTCAATGCCACAAGGAAGTGCTCTGCTGCCTGTTTGTGAGCTCCTAAATTCATGCAAGTGATGCCCACATTGTACCTGGCTCTGATGAACCCGGGTTCCAAATTCAAAGCATGATGATAAGCTTCAACTGCCTCTTCAGACCTTTCACTATTAGCCAGTGTGGCTCCCAGTCTGTTCCACAACTTTGCATTATCACTGGCAACACTTAAAGCAGTTTTAAAACAGTCTACAGCTTTGTCATACTCTTGATTTATGTTGAACAACACACCCAAACCATTTTGCACATCAGGATCAATCTGATTTGGGTTTAATTGTGCTGCTTTGATGTAAAATGTCTTCACATGGTTCTCCAAGTCTTTGATATCTAAATTTTTAGGATCAATATCTAAGGGACACAGGTCACTGTATTTAGGACTAGCTTTCAACCAATCAAATAATGACATGTACGCATATTTGGACATGTTCTCATTTGTGTAAGCTGCAGCCAGAGTTAGATAGGCTTCCAATTGCCTGGGGTCTATTTCTAGAGACTTCTTCAGGGCGGTTATGGCCAGAGGATCTTGTTCATTTTCAGCTTGAGTAGTGCCGAGCAGGAACCATGCCTCAGCAGAGTCTGGAGCCTGCTGTACTGCAGCTTCAAAGCACAGCACTGCTCCTGGTATATCTCCCATTTTCAATTTCTCCTTGCCTATTTCAAGAGCACTCTTATTTTCTAACATAACATTTGCTTCAGTGAAGTTATATTCTTTACTAATGCCATTTGCTTCTTCTGATCCCCAGTAGTCAGAAACATCACTGAGCTTAGCCCATTCATCTTTATATTTTTCTGTCATTTCATCTAAAATCTCATCTTTACTAAGCTTTTTCTGGTCTTCAGTAGTTGCACCCAAGTTGAGCTCTCCTGCACTTATTTTTTTCATAAAGTTCATAAACTGATTGTAAGCAAGTTCATCATCATCCTTCACACTGTTCACATATTCTTGAGCCTTAGCTTTGACATCAGTGTTTTCTAATTCAGATTCATTCAGATATTGGATTTGAACATTAGAAGGACCTGGAGCATGAAGAAAAGGCTGGTGAGGCATTTGAAATGGCCTCATCATTGTTGGAGGCATGAAGGAAACTGATGGCCCTGCTGACCAAGGCCGGCTGGCTTGAGGTATGAAGTTCTGAACTTGATGATTTGTGTTGAGTGGTTGTGTGGTTTTAGCTTGATCCGAAACTGGCAAATTATTGAGAAGAGTGTTCATGTTGAACGTTTGTGGCACCTGAGAGTTCTGGGCCATAAATTCGTGCACAAAGCTGTCCGCCTGAGAAAGAGGTTGCGAGAAAGATGCATCTCGACCGACGATACTGGAGAGCTGTACCAATGAATTATTTCCACCGCAGTCACCTCCTACTAATTTATTGAGTGACATTTTGCTGTAGCACAGTTACGTGACACACCACTATAATTTACCAATCTAACAGTGTAATCGTAGGAATCTTTCGCTTTTATGCGTTCATGTTTATCAAAAGTGCAAAGTTCATGATGATAACGCAAACCATAGAGAAAAGTAATATAGATGACCCACGCTGAACTGTCCCGCCAAACTCAATGACAGGGGGGCGCTACCATCGTTCAACTTTATGGTTTCCAACATGGCAAAAATCGGAACCAGCGATTCGGTATTGACGGTGGCGCCCCGCTGTCAATGTCATCGATAGGACAGTTCAGTATTTTGGAACTATATTTTGGGATTGCGAAATCGAAAGAAAATAAAATGTCATGTGTCAGTAGTCCATGTTAATTTACTCTATGACTTCTATGAGTAAAATGGAAATTCAATACATTTTTATTTTGNACACTCTTTGTTTGCACTCCACTCTTTTATCTTCTAAAACATCGGTTCCCAAACTTGTTTTGTCACTTTGAGAATAAATTCTTTTTAGCGCCCCCATTTGTAGTCGAGAGTCGAGTGTCTAAGAGTCCTCCTAGTAGATAACGCCTCCCAAGCCTCTACACTACGTCCCGATTTTTTTTCTGGGTCTCTTACCACCCCCCTTTAAGCCTGCAGCGCCCACAAGGGGGCGTTATCGCCCACTTTGGGAAAGACTGTTCTAAAACATTATTAAAGTTAAAAGTTCCAATCTTCGGATTTTGTCTTGAGACCCATCCTATCACAAAGTCACTGGTTAAAAAATGCTAAAACTTAACACTAAATTCCACAATTTAACTGATAACTGACACACACAATGCTCTTTAAAGTGGAATGGGCATACAAAGTTCGACAGTTGAAGGTTGCTATTAAAGTACAGGACTTAGTGTTAAAATACCGTGAGTACTCGAAATCTGTATTCGAGTTTTGTGGATCCCAATACAGAATTTTACATACTCGAGTACGTGAGTACCTGCTAGGTATTTTAGTCAGTCTTACGCGGCACATCTCTAGACACTACACTGAAATCATGCATGTGAATTAAACTAAGGCCTAGAACGCACTATGCGTTTAGCCGGAATGCGACGCGGCGTGCCGCTGCGGTAAGCCGCACATCGATTATTACATGAAACCGCATGATAACAACGCACTATCATGCAGCTGTTTCAATACATATTTTTAACCAGACGGCTAACTGCATTCCGGCTAACCACATAGTGCGTTCTAGGCCTAACTGTTATACCAATGTAATGTATGTGTGACACCCGAAAGTGTACTTTTCATACAGTCGATCCCTGTCTGATCTCAACAGTTGTATGTATTTGATGATATTTTGCAAATTCCCTTTTTCCCATTTATTTTATAAGAATCTTAAGAAATGTTGATAGATGAAAATAAAATTTTGATTTTAGTTTTAAAAACTTCCATTACATTATTTAATTTAAATGTTAAGTTTTGGAAGAATGCATTATAATTTATCTATTTAATAATATATGTATAAACCCTTCTTAAAAATAACCCTCCTTCTGACACAGTCGGGTAAGAATTGGAAATCTACAGTGTTTTGCAAATGTGGGGTTTTAGACAATCTTTCACTTTTATTGATACTAGCTTCTGTGCTGCTATAGTCATGGTTTACAACAGGTTAACTGTTTAATAAAACTAGATATTCTCGTCATGATATATATTGCTAATTAGTTCCAACTGTTTATCTTCTACCCCCAAAAATTGTATTAGATTAGCATGTATGCCAATAATAAAATAAAATACCATAGAATTAAGATGTTCATAAAACTACATTGCACACTATTATCAAAATATTTTGCTTGAAATAAGTAATTTATAATCATGACCTTACATATTAAGTAACTTTAGGGAAATCTACAAAATATGATTTTGTGTGTGGGGGAACGCACAAAACCCCACAATAAGTAGGTAAACGCTAAGAGGGGGGTATCATGTATTATCATCAGAATGAAGACATGTCAGACAAGTCGTAAGACTAATGCGGAATCTGTAATTTATACGTTCCTAAAGGATAATCTACGCAAGCATAGTGGTTTAGAGATCCAAAGAGAGATACGTAGGTTAGAAAAATGTGTTTGTCATATCTGTTGCGTTAAATTTTTGTATCTTAGGTTCACTTTAAATTTATTGTTAATAGGAATAGATAATTAATAGCAAAATTGAATCTATTATCTCATTAATAAAACACGTTAAAATAAGAAAATGGACCGGTTTGTTGGGAGTACTTACCTATTTGAGATTTGCTGGTTTCATGGAGAGCCTTGGATGTCAGGTAGTCTTCAAATTTTTTGTCGATATACACATTAATCTTCTCCACTACGGGATTAGGTAAATTAGCAAATTCTGTTTCTGATAAAACATCTTTCAAGTGATTTTTAGCGCCGGCTTCAGCACTTGAAGCATCCATTTTTGTTTTACACAACCATAGACTAAATTAGATATTTTCAAGCGTTGCGCACACAACAGACAGAATAAAGAATGGGGGTCTTTAGCCGAAAATAGAATTTATTAGAAATTGTGAGCAAAATGGCGATCGTCATGGCAACCGCCGAAAAGTAGTATGTTTTCGGCAAGGACACGTTTGCTTAGTTTATTTATTGATGTCTTTCATACAATTTTTTAGCAGTGATAGCACTTACCGCTAAACAAAAGCCAATTTTCATAAGCGCTAACAATTCTATTTTCGGCCAAACGCCTCCAATGATTAATGCGCATGCGTGTGTTTCGTTCGCGCTTCCTATTGATCCAAAGACAAAACTAGGGAGGGGCAGGAATATATGAGCTTGTCTGTGTACCGGTTTTGGAACATGCGAGAGCTTAATCTATCTATTGATTTGATCATCTCGGTATTTTGGGATTGCGAAATCGAAAGAAAATAAAATGTCATGTGTCAGTAGTCCATGTTAATCATACTCTCTAATCTGTGATGTTAATTTACTCTATGAGTAAAATGGAAATTCAATACATTTTTATTTTGTAATTACTACAAAATATTAATTTGAATCGTAGTAATTAAACAAGCTATTCAGTTAAATGTTAATCGAAATGGAAGAAGAGCAATGTTTGCATGAATGTGAAAGTTACATCCAGAACCACAACGTCCAATTATTGTTGAAAGATTGCATAGTTCAGCTGTGTGTAAATAAACCTGAAAACCCAGTTTCTTTTTTGAGACAATATTTTCAGAAGTTAGAGCGGGTAAGTTAAGTAATTTATACTAGTTGCTTCTTTTAAAAAATCTTATTTATCTCATAAGAATGGAAACTGTAATGTATTTTATTTTAAAGAATTTTTTTAACAAGTTTACATTTAATTCACATAGAATAATATGTTCCACATAAATTACTGTTGTGTAAATCATATTTCATTTTTATGTAAAGTGAAAACTATTTTAAATACCTACCATCTGTAGGTATTTTTTGAAGTTCAGTAAAATTCCTATTTTATGACCTAGATAACAAAAATATTTTATGTTTTTACAAGGGACTTGGCTCATGATTAATATTTGATTTTGATTTATTTTTTATTAATAGGAACAAGCCAAAGCTGCTGCAGCAGCAGCTACGGCATCAGAGGGTGAAGCAGACGGAGAACTTTCGCCGCTGCCCGTGCCCGGGGTGCAACCTCCTCGCAGACGGGGAGGGATAAGTGCTGAACCTGTTACTGAAGAAGATGCAACTAGTTATGTTAAAAAGGTAAGAAACACCATGTTAAAAGTGTTCACACTTTAAAATTTTGTTGTATTCTTTAATATTTTATCGCTGCACTTGTTAAAAAAGATGTGTCCTATAAAACCATTTGAAATTGTTCACTTCTAGGTGGTGCCAAAAGATTATAAAACGATGGGTGCTTTATCCCGAGCGATAGCTTCCAATGTTCTGTTCACCCACCTTGATGAATCAGAACGTGCTGATATGTTTGACGCAATGTTCCCTGTACAGTGTCTGCCAGGTGAAACAGTTATCAGGCAAGGTGATGAAGGAGATAACTTTTACATTATTGATTCTGGTGAGGTTGAAGTAAGTACTAGTTATCATCACATTATGTATGCATTCCTCAATTGTGTTCTGCTTCCTTACTGGTGTGATTTATATCATTTACAATCACAAGTGTTTATGTTGTTCATTGCATAGATATACAATTTAACAAAAAGTTAGATAATAATGAACACAAGTTTCAAATGAGTTTAAAATGGCATTTCTTTAACTTTACTTTTTCAGTCAGTGCAGCATATTATTCTATGCATATTCTTGATGCATGTGCTGAAAACTTGATCAGATTTTTAGCAAATATGCTCTCACAAAATTTTCAGGTATTAGTTAATGGTGAACCAGTTACTACGATTGGTGAAGGTGGAAGTTTTGGAGAGTTAGCCCTAATTTATGGTACACCGCGTGCGGCGACTGTGCGTGCGCGTACTCCACTAAAGCTATGGGGTCTGGACCGTGATTCTTACCGCCGCATACTAATGGGGTCCACGATCAGGAAACGAAGGATGTACGACGAATTCCTCTCTCGCGTGTCAATTCTAGGTATGATCATAGAATTTATACCACTGTATTCTAAAAAGTGTTGCAAACAAGGTCAATCTGAGTTATTTCGAAATTACCCCAAATCTAATGTAAGGATTTACATTTAATGAAGGTTTTTTATTTCAAGTTGAATTTCATGTATGTTGTTTATTTAATGTTTCAGAAAGTTTAGAAAAATGGGAGAGACTGACTGTTGCGGATGCTTTAGAACCTGTTTCTTTCACCGATGGTGAAATAATAGTCCGCCAAGGCGAACCAGGAAATGATTTTTATATTATTGTGGAAGGTACATAATAATTACAATTAAACATCGAAAATTTTAATTGGCTAAAGAATCTTTTGTTTGTTTTCCTCATAATTCCGATCAAGCCGTATAGTATAAAAAGGCGATGGATCAGTGGTGTAGCGTGTCTAACAAATTTTGATACAGGGCCCTTCTTTTCAAGGGCCTCAAAATCGTTTGATTTTTGTTGCTTACACGTTCAGGGCCTCTGTTTTATAGTCTTGGTTACGCTCCATGGATTGTTTATTGTTTCCGCAGGGTGCGCAGTAGTGCTGCAGCAGCGCAGCGGGCAGGGCG